CAGAGCAGGAAGATTTGCACCCAACTCCGACTCCCGTGTCTTCCTCACTCCCACTCCTCTCCCCCTCTTGGAATCTCCGCACGCCGACGCCTTCCCATCTTAGGGTCCTGCCTGTGTTGCCTCCAGACACCTCAAAAGTTGGAGCTAGTCTCCGACAAAGAGCCATTTCTCCATTCATACATTATTACCATCAAAAACACAGGCTTTTTATGAGTAAAATTTGTTTTTAATTCATCTGGGCCTCATAAGTAGAAAGCAATAAAAACCAATGAAGCCAAACATTAAAAAATTTTTATTAACATTAGAATATTTGAATGTAATTTGAAACTTACAGTAAATTTTAACATGTCACATTGCCATTTACTTTTGTTTATATTGTACTATTTTTTAATAGCTAGAAATTTTAAATTTTATTTTTTTAAATCCTAGAGTTTTTAAAATTCAATGTAAATAGACAATGTATCAAATTGTTTTAGTCATACACCTTTAAATGTCATTTGCCAAATATTAGTTTTACTTAAATTTCCAGATTTAACAAAATTCTTAACACTGAATATAACTTTCCCATGCAAAGTTACGGAAGAATTACAACATGGCTCAACATTTCTGCTTCCAGGTATTACACCCAAGAGAAATGGAAACATGTCTACATAAACCCTGAACACAAAGATTCATAGTCACATTCAGAAAAACATGGAAACAACTCAAATGCCTATCAACTGATAAAAATATGTGATAGTCACACAACTTGGCAATAAAATGGAATGAAGTACAGATCCATGATACAACACAGATGAAGCTTGAAAACAAAGTAAAAGGAGCACATGTTGGATGATTCCCTTTAAATGGAGTGTACAGAATCAATAACTATACACACAGTGGAGTAGTGGTTGCCCAGACTTTGGAGATGATGAGGAATGACTACGAATGTACAGGATTTCTTTTTTTTTTTTTGTACAAAAATGTGTAAAATTAGTTGTGCTGATGGCAGCATAACTAAATATATTATTTTGTCCCAACTTCTGTGACCGGCCACAAGAAAGGAAGGTGGGAGGCAGAAAGGCTGAGCAAACAGTTTTTTGCTCTCCTACAGCAGCTGAAGGAGCTGAGACGGAGCCCCTAGGGTGGGGTCCGCAGCTACTGCCAGCCCTATGGGGGGAAGGGTCTCTTACATAGATTCTAAACTCAAATTCCGAAAGGGTGACTCATCACTATGTCCCTTGATGTAAGGGGCCCAGTTTGTTATCACCTTCTTCTAGTCCCATCCCGGATGCAAGGCCCCATTAATTGGATGCAAGGCCCAGTTTATTACCTTTGGATGCAAGGCCTGATTTATTACTGCCCTTATCCAGTCTCTCAGTAAATCTCCCAGCATTTGGTCACTCCCAACATATATAAACACTAATGACATGTACTTTGATTGGCTGCAAGTGAATGATATCACAATAAAGCTGTTATAAAATAAACATTTGAGGGCCCTCCCTGGTGACATAATGGGCTAGGGTACATCATTATGTAGTTATGGCAGCCACTGCAGCACAAGTTTGATCCCTGGCCAAGGGGGTGACCCTCATGGCACAGCAGACCTCTCCTGACCCGCCCACTACTCCCTTCAGCAGTATTTCAGTACATCTGCCTATTCTGTTCCCCACTCTGTCTCTGGTGAATCCTCTCACCCTCCATACCTCTGGCCTGTATCCACTTCTGTATGCACAAACAAATAAATCTTAAAAAAAATCTGAAGGGAATTTCAGGTAGAAACTCTGGTAGAGAGTCATCAAGTTTTCTTAGCAGACATGTGTGGCTGGGGTTCATTCAGGAGTTCAACAAAATTATTTTCGTTAGCATGCTGCAGAACTTTATGGAAATACAGTCATTCTGCATGTATTTCGGTAACCTGCTTTGTTTGCTTCACTGTGTCCCTGAGAGGCCATATTTAGCTGACTTCATTCACTGTCATCGCTCCATTGTATGCTAAGTTGAGAACGCAGCACACTTGATCTGTAAGAGACTTTAGCGTTGTTTCCTTTCCTTTTGGGTCTTAGAAATAGGTCTATGAACCTTCTTGGCGGGCATACATGCAAGAATGGAATTCATGGTCTTCCGTTTAAATGTCCATATTCAACTTCTTTAGTTGATATCAAACTGTTTGCCAAAATGACACACCTAACTATCTCTTTGGAGTATGTTATATTTCCAGCTGACTTGTTAGCTATTCAATACATGCTACGATCTATTTTTTTTTTGGTCTAGAAACAGTAGACACTTGGTAAATATTTATAAATCAATTGAATTATCAATTGGTTAAAAATAAAATTTTAGGCATTTTCCATTTTCATCATTACAGGTAAAAACTGTAAGGATGTTTCTGGAGTAAAAGAATTTAACCACTCCACAAATACAGAAAAAAGGGAGAAATGAAAACAGAAGGTAAATGGCATTGATTGTCTTTAATAATTGTAGATGCCGAAAAATTCAATATCAAAGGTGAGGTACTTTGAGACCTCTACCATGTTTTTGGTTTTCTTTCCTCTGAAGCATCCATCCACTCCTTCAAAGTGTGCAGTATGTCAGGTGTTTTAGGTCGTTTCATGGGTTCATGCGAGAGTAGATTCTGTAGAAATTTTTTCTGTAATAATAGTAAGAGTCAATACTAAATAATGATACATTGAAATAAATAAAATTCATCTGACTGTCAAGTACTTACTTCTTTGTCATCAAATACATCTGGGATGTTGCCAGCCCTTAGTTCTTCAAATACCTGAAGACAGAGCACCATAAATACATATATCCACTAGGAAATTATTCATATGAGAGGAAAAACAAAACTGGAAGCACTATCGCTCTGGGATATTTCTAGATCTTTGGAAAGGCTCTTTAGCCAGGAAGCAAGCTGGAGTCCTCTCTTTGACTCCATCTCATCTAATTAACCATCCTGAACCTGAAAACTGAAAGTATTAAAAGCATCATATATGTTATCTCCCTTCACTCTTTTTTGAATCCTATGTATTCCATCATTTCTGTTTTACAGAAGAGACGGCTGTTGACTCTAGATTAGTCTCCTTCACTGAATTTCTGACCAGGATGTCTACTTGCCTAATTAGACTTCCTGCTGCCTCCACAGGAAAGTCATTATTCGAATTTCCTTAATTCTAGTGTCTTTCCAGCACCATCAACCACTAGTTAGTTTCTGGCAACTTGCTTCGTGCTGCCTGCTATCCCCAAAAAGGCTCTACACATTCTTATCTTCACATTAGAATAGCTTTCTGTTTTTGACTCTTAGAAATGAATTGATCATTCAGAGCCCAATTTAAGTGTCTCTCTAAAGCCCAAATCCACGCAGCAAAAGATCTCCCTCCTAGTTGATTCCATAAGATTTCATTCCTTCTCTTACAATATCCATAGCATTTTCTAACATTGTCTTTCCTTCTAGACGACAAGCTCACTGAGAACAAGACTTACTTGTTTTTATAGCCCTGTAGCACTTAACACAGTGTCTTAAGCAAAACAGGCTGCACATTAAATCTTACATATTGACTCAGATAGAAAAAAAACAGCTATAGTTTTATGAGATATACAAGAAGATCTAAATTTATATTCTACAACAGAGTATGTCTGTGATCAAGACCAGTGGAGTCTGAATGGCCAGTTAAAATTTGGTTGCTCAAATCTGAAAGAGATGGAATCCATACTTAACTTGCGGTTAACATGAGTGAGTTCCAGCCCATGTTCACATGAACTGCTGCAACTGTCTGCAGTAGGCTCTTTAGAATAGATGGCCAATCATTTCTGTTGCTTAATTTTTGTTGAGATTACTTACCTTAGATGTTTCTATAGCAGTGGCACATATGTGAAGAAGTTCTGCAAGAATTAGCCCCAAAGTATAAATGTCCACTTCGTTTCCATACTTCTTTGTGGAAGATATCTAAAGAGACCAAAATCAGAATACCTGATGTTAAAGTCCTCTGAAGTCATGAAAGTTATTTGACCAAAATCATCTTACACCCTAAAACAGAGTATGTGATCAAGACTTAGGATTCTTGACTGGCCAGATTCAAATCTCTGTTACTAACTAGCTAAATCAGCTGTATAAATTAACCATCGATGTGGAAATCATCTCATCTATACAATGGGGATGACAACAGTTTTAACCTTAGGAGTTTGATTGTGAGGTTAAGTGAGATGCAACAGGTGAGGCAGTGAAAATAATGCCCAGTGAGTGACTGATACACAAATATTCAAAGTAGATTTATTCATAATAGTGCATAAATGGAAGCAATCCAAAAGTCCATCAGTAGCTGAATGAATAAATTGTGGTATATTCACACAATTGAATAGCACAAAAAAAGGGGAGAGGGAGTAAATACAGGTGCCAATATCAGCTAGAAGTTCTCCAGCAGGCATTATTTTGAATGCAATAACCACACCCTAACGAGTCCATAATGTACAATACGTAACCCATGGTCATTGTCACCAGTAGCCCACAAGGAAGGGCTACTGAAACGGCCATGAGGGAATGTGTGTTATGTGTGTGGGGGAGGAGGTGTGTGAAAGGAAAGATCTATATTTTCAACAGTGTGTATGTTCACAAGTATATGCTTTTGTCAATACTTAAAAATGTACGTTAGGCCCTCCCTAGTGGTGCAGCGGGTTAAAAGCATAGTACTAAGAAGCTAAAGTCACTTCAGCATGAGTTCGATCCCTAGCCCTGGAGGTGATCCACATGGCGGCAGACCTCTCCTGGCCACCCGCAGCTCCCCTCAGTAGTGTTCTTTCTCAATTGGCCTGTTGTGCTCCCTACTCTCTCTGGTGAATCCTCTTACCATCCCTTCACATCTGGCCTATACCCATTTCTGTAATGCATAAATAAATAAATCTTTTTTTTTTTAAAGATTTATTTATTTGTACATACAGAACTGGGGTACAGGCCGGAGGCTCAGGGGCGGTGAGAGGCTTCACCAGAGACAGAGTGGGGAGCAGAACAGGCAGATCGACGAAGTACACTGCTGAGGGGAGCAGCGGGCGGGTCAGGAGAGGTCTGCTGCCATGTGGTCACCTCTGGGGCAGGCGGGGATTGAACTCATGTGGGAGTGGCTTTAGCTTCTCAGTGCTGTGCTTTAACCTACTGCACCACCAGGGAGGGCCTAAATAAATAAATCTTTTTTAAAAAAAGTACATTAGAGGCATACATATTTTGGTGTAAAATTATTCCTTAATAAAATGTTTTCAAAGAAAAAAATTACTACGGAAATAAAAAGCATAACGATAAATGACTTTGTAAAATATAGCTAAGGGCAACAATGCAGGATACAGGGGTTTTTTAAATGCAGGATACAGGGGTTTTTTAAATAAAATGGGAGGTTTTTTCCTGTTGTCTTCTCCTTTCATACCCCCAAAAAGCTTAAGCTATGTTTCAAAATAAATAAAAGAGGTTCTTTATTCATCGGAGACTCTCAGCCTCCAGATAGTTCAGAATATTTATTCTTGGATGACAAAATAGTAGCAGTACTTTGAAAGGTATTTCATCAGTAAAAATCATCTTTAAAGAGCATTTATAAATCAAAAAGTAAAACAGGATGACCAACCCCCCAATAAGCTATCAGCCAAAAAAATAAATAAAATCTACCAGGGTAAGGAGTCTTTCCAGGGAAGTCACAGACATACAAAGACGTCAATTCTTCTTTTTTTTTTTTAGATCTATTTATGCATGAACTGGGGTTCAGGCCAGAGGTGTGGGGGGTGAGAGGATTCACCAGAGAGAGTGGGGAACAGAGCAGACAGATGTACTGAAACACACTGCTGAGGGGAGCAGTGGGTGAGACAGGAGGGGTGTGCCATGGACCTGGCTAGGGATCAAACTCTTGGTGCATCAGCTGCAGATTGCTTCCTAGAGCTGTGCTTACCCTGTTGCGCCACCAGGGAGGGCTCAAAGATGTTAATAATTAACTGAATTCTTAAGTTTAATGAAAAACCTCAACACCCATTACAGAACTTGAAAAGCTGATTTATAGTTTATTTGCGATATTAACCGTGAACACTTTAAAGTAGAAGAGAAACGTGGAAAGTCCTGCTATCCAAATAGAGGCCTATTTTATCAGACTATGATGAAACTGTGCTAATGAAAGTATACTATTCAACAGAAAAAATTAAAATAAATCAATTAGAGCAGAGTACAGAAACAGAGCCATGAGTTTGTGAGAATTTCATATAATAAAACAGATTTTTATTACATTTTATCAGTATTTTCTTTGTGGCTACTAGGCTTCTTACTTTTAAATATTTTGGAGACTGTTCGTTTTAACCATTTTTATTTTTACAGTCTGTTGGCATTAAATACCTTCACAATGTTTTGTAACCATCGCCTTCCTGTTTCCAGAATGGAAAGTATACCCATTGAACAATGTTTCTATTCCTCTCTCCTTCAGACCATGGTAAATCTCTGTTTTACTTTAAGTCTCTAAGAATTTTCCTTAAAATATTATTTCAAATCATGAACTATTTGATATGTGATAATGACACAATTCTGTATCTATATAATGACAATCAAGCTATAACCCTTCCTTATATGTATATATAAATTCACACAAGTTAACGTATTAGAAGAACATAAAATACTTTTTATAATCTTTGGGTAAGTACAGCCTCCAAATATTTAAAAATAAGAAACCCAGCAGCCACAAGGAAAATAGTGATAAATGAAGAACTTCAAAGCTTTTCCATCACATTATAAAAAAAGAAATAACACGGGCTCTCCCTGACAGTGCAATGGGTTAAAAAATCACTATGAAGCTCTCCGCTGTCACTGTAGCATGAGTTCAATTCCTGGCCAGGGAGGTGACCTACATGGTGCAACAGACTTCTGTCTTGCCCGCTGCTCCCCTCAGGAGTATACTGCAGTATAACTGCCTGTTCTGATGAATCCTCATACACCCCCACCCCATGTCTTTGGCCTGTATCCCAGACCTTGTATGCATAAATAAATAAATCTTAAAAAAAAAAAGTAACAAGTGAGGAGAAAATTTCTATAATATAGTTAGCAAGTACAGAATCGATATACAAAATAAGTAGTCCTTACAAATAAATTAGAAAATATTCTGGACTTAAATATTCTGGACGTAAATACATGTAAATAAAGAATCTAACTTAGCAAAAATCTGGAAAATGCTAACTAAAACAGCAAGATACTGCTCATTTATCACACTGACCAAAACTTAAATTTAACAGTACTTGTTATTTGTAAATATAAAAAAACTGGAAACAATCTAAATATCCATTAATAAAGAAATAGTTAAATAAATGATGTTACAGCCATCCTTTGGCATACCATACAGATGTGAAAAAAAGTGTCAGACCCATTTGCACTGATAAGATGATGAAATGTTGAGTGAAAAAAAAAGTCACAAAATAACATTATAGTATCCTTACAAAAATGTTGGTATGTACATCTTTACGTAAAATAAGTCTATGTATATACTTGTATATTTGCATCTAGTATGTTTACATCTCAAGAAAATGATCTAAAAAATGAGGAGTGGAAAAGGAAGAATAATGGGAAACTTCTATTTTTATTCTATGTATTACCGTACTGTTTTGAATTTCATAGTTATCTACTATTTCTATAATTAAAGTAGAAGAACTAAGTGAAGTGGAGACAGAGGGACAGGATGCTCACCTGCTCTGGACTCATGTATCGCCATGTTCCTCTCTTCCCTGTTCGTGGTCCATCATTTTCCAGGGATGTCACAAGTCCAAAGTCTCCAATCTTTATTTGTTTTGCATCTACTAAAAATATGTTACTTGGCTATGGAAAACAAACAATGTTTAATTTATAGTACCAATATGACAGATTGTTATTGCACATCCAAATCATATTCAGCATCAGTTATTTAAACACTAACCATAAGGCATTTACTCTTACACAGATAGTCAACACAGAATATTTATAGTACAGATCTTTATCTATATTATCTCTATATATTTAACATTGGATGACAAAATTATTCACACCTCCTTGTCCCCACAGAACACCCATTATTAACGCACCATAATCCTCCACCACAGCCTGTTGGGCTCCCCTCGCCTTTGCCCTCCACTCCAGCCTCTAGCAGGAGAATCAATTCTACACTAGATTTCTTAGGGTTCATTTTGGTTAATTTTGTCTGCTCATGTAATTCACTTTTACTTTATATAAAAGTGAAATCATCTGGTCATAGGTATTTAATATGCCAGTTGAGGAAGCAAGAAATTTGAGCTGATATTTGAGTAGGTATTTGAAGGTAAAACTGCCATGTCTGAAGGGTGTTAGGTAGGCAGATATGCTCAGCACAGACTCAGGCGATGGATCCAGATTCTGAGGTTGGAAACAAGCATAAGATGTGTTTTACCCAACATACTAATAGTGTGGTCTGTAAGATGAAAGATTGAGAGTCCCCTATCTCGGGAAGTATTCAAGGTGGAGTCAGACCGTTACTTGTTAAAAGTGTTGCATAGGGCCCTCCCTGGTGGCGCAGCGGATTAAAGCACAGCACTGAGAATCTAAAGCCACTTCCGCATGAGTTCGATCCCTGTCTGCCCCGAAGATGATCCACATGGCGCAGCAGACCTCTCCTGACCTGCCCGCTGCTCCCCTCAGCAGTGTACTTCTTTGATCTGCCTGTTGTGCTCCCCACTCTGTCCCTGGTGAATCCTCTCATCCTCCGCATCTCTGGCCAGAACCCCAGTTCTCTATGAAAAAATAAATAAAATCTTTAAAAAAAAAAAGTGTTGCATAGATACTCTTGAGGTCCCTTGAAATGTTGAAATTCTCTCAGCTTCCCATCTGGCATTTTTAAAGACCTATGACCACGTGATTTCACTCCTATGTAGGATAAAATGAAACAAAATGAACGGAAAAAATTAACTAAGATTAACCCAAGGATGACACAGAATACTCTTGGCAGAAGTTCTTGGGGGGACAGGGCACATTATGTGGGGGCACAACTTCTTCACAAATATACCCACTCTATCCTTGAAGCCATGCCAAGAGAGCTAGACACTGTTAAGTAGGACTGACATACTTTTTCAGTGTAATTCTTGAAGCAGATTTTTAAAAAGAGGAAGAAGAGAATGAGGGTGTTTATCCTAGTTCAAAGCTTTGCGGCAGGTATTGAGCAACATTTTAAGGACCAAGGAGACAGGAAGATCATTGACATAGAAAGTAACACTTTGCGATTCTTGAAAATACTATTTTCAAAACAAGTTGGAGCTAAACAGTCAGTGACATGCAGAATCTATGAACTGACACTTTTGAGAGGTCACAGGAAAGGAACTGCAAGGACAGTGACCATCAACCCCAAAATACAGGAAGAGCTCCCAAGACACCCCCCTAAGAAGGGCTGTGCAGGTATGAGCTATTAGGTAAGAACAGTGAACAGTATGCTTGGAACCTGATGCTAATAATACAAGAGGAAATTTATAGGTGTGGGGGGTGGGGTGGGCATGGAGTGAAAACGAACCTCTGCCCTATTCTATATTAAGTGGTCAGATTTACAAAGCCAACTGGTAGTCCCACACAAAGCAATAACCTGAATCATATTTATGACATTGCCTACATACATAAGCTGAATGGAAATGTCTATAGTTCATCACACTTTATCAGGTCACTTGTTTATAGTTCATTAAAAAGAAAAAAGACTGCTGCATTTTGTCTAATGAGCTATGAATAAGTAAACAAAATGGGGTTGGAGGCCATTTTTAACAGGGTGCAACTTCACATGGGAGACACAGGGACACAGGCTGAGGCTGGTCCAAGACATGAGTCTCCGCAGACAGGAAGCCCTCGCTCTCTCAGAAACCCCACCAGCTTTTTTAGCCTCACTCTTAGAACTTCCAATGGAAAACAAAAAACACTGGCAGACTTTATATAACTTAGTAGTGGCAAAATCACCTATAGATGGTGTTGTGCACACCTTCCTTTATGCACTCAGATTCAAGAAAGCATTGAAGCAAAAAGTATTGTCCAAGATAAAAGACGGCTCGGTAGTCGTAAAGTCTGATCACCCAGAGTAGAGACACAGAACAAGAATTCTCTGCACTCGGGTACAAGGAAGGGTCACTCCAGGTCACAGGCACAGGCAGGTTGGGAACAAGAGGATTCCCTCAGCCCAGGGAGCACCACACTAATGCATTATGAGGAGGACAAGCACATTTGTACCCAAACAATTTACTGTGTAAATAGCAAATGGTGCTTAGATTTTTAAGTGTTTATTTTGATGTGTGATTGATTTCACACTGAAGGTATAAGCATTCTAAAGGTATTCTTTTGAACACAGTTATAACAGTGCAACTTCAAACACAGTGACTCTCTACGTGGAAAAGCTCAGTCTAAGCACCCTTGGCGCTTGTAACAGGGCATGACACCCCACCAGAGATCAGAAGTGAATCGGCTCTATGTCTCAGTAGCTTCACTATTCTTGGGACCTTCCTTGTGATTCTATGCAACAGTATTTGGGGCAAGTTCTAGATCCATTCTAACGTCAGAGAGTCAGAGATTCTCAAATTTCCCTCAATTTCAAAAATAAAAAAGATAGATTAAAAAATCACTATTATATTTTTTATCCCTAACAAACACACTTTCCGCTTACCTTAAGGTCTCTATGAATAAATCCTTTTTTATGAATATAATCCACTCCTGTTGTTATTTGTCTAAAAAATTCCAAAGCTAGAGATTTGTCTGGTTCCTTGCCTCTTCTTCCATTAATCCAGTCCTCCAATGTCCCTTGACCACAGAATTCCATCTGGATGAAAAGGCACTTAATTTTGGGGCTGTGTATAAAATTCAGTTTGTTAGAAGTAGCAACAGAAACAAATTAATAAAAAAAACTTTTCTTTTTAACATTATACCTTTTCTGGCCCTCCCTGGTGGCGCAGCGGGTTAAAGCACAGCACTAAGAAGCTAAAGCCACTTCAACATGAGTTCGATCCCCGACACAGAGGTGACCAACATGGCGCGGCAGACCTCTCCTACCTGCCCACTGCAGTGTACTTCATCATTCTGCCTGTTCTGCTCCCCACTCTGTCTCTGATGAATCCTCTCACTGCCCTGCACCTCTGGCTTGTACCCCAGGTCTGTATGCATCAATAAGTAAATCTTTAAAAAAATTATACCTTTAGGAACCTGAAAACAGAAATCTAAATTTTGTATATTTTTATGATCATGAGTGATAATTAGACCTATTACAGTGATCTCCTTGCAGTATACTCAAATATTCAATCAGTATGTTGTCTGTCTGAAACTAACATAATGTCAACTACATCTCAATAACTAACCAAATGAAGGATTACTATCTACTACTATCATTTTGGTGCTCAACTTTCTCAACTTTCCCAATAAGTCTCTTCATGTTAGTTTTTACATCCTTTATTCTTTGAACAATTCCTTATCTTGTAGCAGAAGAAGATATTCCAGGACCATATTCCACTTTTTTTTTTTTAAAGATTTATTTATTTGTGCATACAGAACTGGGGTACAGGCCAGAGGCTCAGGGGCAGCGAGAGGATTCACCAGAGACAGAATGGGGAATAGAACAGGCAGATCGACGAAGTACACTGCTGAGGGGAGCAGCGGGCGGGTCAGGAGAGGTCTGC